ATTTTTTAAATAAAAGGAAAATAAGTCGACAAAACACATACGATATTGATATGAGTGCACATGCATACGGTAAGTTCATTTTTTTAATAACATTAAACTAAAATGTAATTAAAACCCAAAACTCTGATTATATTCATAATAAAATAAATTAAACTTAATTTTAAAATTTATCAATTAAATAGATTCTACGAAACTCTCTTGACTCCGAAACATTTTATCAGTATAAAACAAAAGAAGGAAGAAAACACTTAAAAGTATCCAAACTGCTTTTTATTTCAGTAAAAATAAAAGAGTAAATCTTTGTGAACCAACTACCGTCGACGAAGGAGCGCACGGTCACCCTATCTGTATGATCGTTGGACGCTACTCGACATGTCCGATGCCGAAAAGATATTAAAAAAACACAGGCACATATTTTGGCAGGAAATAAATCACGATGTCGTAGATGCGGCTATATTAAATTTATGGCGGTCCCAACGCCGCGCCGCTGATAGAAAACTACTAAGACAAAAGGGAAAAAAAGGAAACTTAAAAGGTGACACCACGTGACCCGCCAGAGCAGATGCGACAACTTCATTACGGCATATAATTTACTTCGCTCCCGTTATTGAAGTAGGAAGCGTTATTTTTTATCCGCCCGTTTGTGGGTAATTTATGGACATACAGTTCGAAAACTTAGGGCGATCCGACGGGCTCTTGTTAATGTTGAACCGAGAATTTTATTATAATTGTTTCACGAATTAACTTCAGTTCACTGCGAAATAATTGCGCTGATGGAATGATTTTTAAATTCCATTCGAATGTTTTCCAAATTCACAATCATATCACAAATTATATGTAACGTTATATTATAAAAGAGATTGGAAATACCAAGATGCTATGAAAGAACAATGTTTCTATAAAAATAGTATGAAAGAAAAATTGTTATTAAATAATGTGGCCAATATATTTACTTTTGCTTACAAAGGAAGTGAGGGAGATACTATAAAACTTAAGTATAATTTTTTTAAATAATACAACTTATTCTAAATAGATTGACTTGTAAAAACCAAATAGTTATGACAGATATTTTGGACAATAAACGATGGTTAATTATTTGAGTATGTCAGTACTCTTGTCTTGAAATAGTCGTTTTTGAACTGAAATTTTGATTTTGACATAAAAATTTATGTAATAAAATTAATATTATAAATTTAAGTTAATCTGATGTCTTATCATTTTGAGGTCAATATTTTCTTATATTATCTTAAACAGGGAAGGGGGCTTAAAGTCTTCGAAACACGGACTTCAGTAATACTTGAAAGTAAAGAGTGGTTATTATAGATTAGCTAGGTAAGGTTAAATAAGAAATAGATTATAGACACTTTACTAAGCATAGGCAAGGCATATTCATTTTGATACTTGTTTGAGAATAGGAGTAGTATGTTCTTTTTAGAACAGGCAACATTTACAATAAGAGGTACAAGCTCACAATTCGTCTGATGGTATAGATGTTGTGATTTTACATATATCTCCATGATTAGAAATCAAAATGCAGATGTGATATCATTCATGAAGAGTAACATGTCACATTACTAGTAAAAGGGTCTCCAGCTCTTTTCCATGGCTCGTTTCTGTGGTTCTATTACAGGTTTATTTTTTATTTTACTATAAAGTACATTTTAAGGTAAAAACAATATTTTTATTTAATATTCTATTTGAGTATAAAATACTGCTCACATCGATACAAGGATGTTTCAAGATTGTTTGTAGGTCCACTAAAGTATCCAACATATTATGGATATGGGCATTCATGTTGTAATAATAATTGAGTCGTGGCAGCTCTGGATTAAATAAATAAATAAAATAAAATAAAAATTGTTTATTTCAGATAACTTAAAACCCATATATGATATTTAGTAGTACAATAATAATAATAATAACATTGTTTGCTTTAGTCGAGGGAAAAATTAATACCCTATGCCGAGACAGACCATCATGGGGGTGGATAGGGCCCAGTAATCAGTCTCTGCACAGGAGATTTCCTCAGCGGCGATGTATACCTGTCCGCTACGGTCCTCAGAATGCTGTTGGGGCTGGTTCGTACCCTGCTAATAAGGGGTGCGGTTTTTCGCGTATAATGGCATTAAGCCCATCTGTTTGGTATACCACAAACATCCCTGATGCACTACAAAAATGAGTCAGTCCCAACAGCATCCTGAATATATTATTACATTCGATGCGCAGGGCTTCAAGCAATCTTTTGGTGTATTTGACCCATAGGCTCCACGTGTATACGGTCTGGCTGTATACTTTAAAAAGCGTAACCTTATTTTGTACAACGGGAAAACCTGCAAGCCAACATATTACCTCTAACCGCTAGAGCCCTGCGCTTCCTTTCAATGTCGGCAAAATCTTTAAGGTCACCAGTAATATTACGTCCCAGATATTTAAATTTAGTGACACGTTTCACGTTCATGCCATTAAGGGTACATCATCTGCAATATTGTGACTATTACCAGCGGCCTCAAAGACCATGTACTCTGTTTTTTTTGACATTGTATATGAGCCCATGCTCAGTAGCATACATCTCACATACATTTAACATATCTCTAAGGCCTCCCACCGTTGGGGTGAGAAGCACCATATCGTCAACGTAACTCATATTAATGCTAACGCCATCTGTGCGATATCCGACGCGCATGCTGCTCAACTCCACGATAAGGTCATTTATATACATAATGAAGGCCTTGGGAGATACCAATCCCCCTTGTCTCACCCCACACTCTAATACTTATCCTTCCGACAGAGAATAAACCCACTTTACAAAGTTGATTTGGTTGGAATAGCAAATCCCCCCATTTCCAGCAACTCAGCCGGTACACCCCTTACCGCCAACTTTCTCCAAATTACCTCAGAGGACACTACGTCAAAGGCCTTGAAGAGGTCAAGGAAACAGGCGTACACCGGCGTCATGCGATCTGTGTCGTATTGGATAGTTTGCTTTAGGCTCAGGATTGCGCTTTCAATAAAGTCCAGGTCGGAACTTGAACTGCGCGTCATGTATGTTTGCGTATTTATCTAATTCCGAGTCACACACTAATCGCTCGCTGTAAATTTTACGCAAGGAACCAGTGTTTAATCTCCGCGAGAACCAAAGCAATTGTTGATTGCAAGTGTAAATTTTAAGCACACATTTACCAAGTACTCGGCGGCGAAGGAAGACATCGTGGGGAAGTCTGAGGAATAAAATCTTTTGGGGTCATGTGAAATCCACCAAAACGCGCACCAAACGCGGCTCCATACCCTCTCAGAAAATGAGAGAAGGCCTGTTCCCAATAGTGGGAAGAGTAGGCTGTAACTTCACCTTTAATTAAAAGCTAGTTAACCTTTTTAATTAAATTCTTGTTAGTTTATTTATTTTGTTGTAATTATATTTTCGATTCTTGTTATTCATAACTCACTAACACCGAGTTTTTGTCGTATTTCGCGGACAGTTCCAGATGTTGACTAGCGAAATTATTTACTTTTTATATATTTTATCGATACTTTTATTGAAAGCCAGCAGAACACATTTTAATTTTAAATGAATCATGAATGGTAACATGGTCAAAGCTTATACAAAAAATTACCCAAAATAATCCATTTACTTTCAGTTTTTACTCTTATCTAAGGATATTGCTAACCGAATAAGCATTTTAAGCTAATGAACTCTCTTAAATACATTTTAAACTCTTTTAAATACAATTAGTTCATTTGGTTGAGGGTTTTACTATCCATATCCAGGGTAACTATGGAACGAAAACAAAATATACTCTCTTTCCATATAAACTAAAATAGAAATAGTTTAAGATGTAGTAATATTCCACTTATTTACGGCTAGTAACAACGCATTTAAATATAATAAACTAAAACAAACTTAAATGATACAAGTAATATCTCTACGCTTGACAGTAAGTAGTAGTTGACGATCTGCCTCAGTGTAGGTGCGGTCGGCACGCCCAAAACCCTTTTTCATTCTCAGCACCTTATCATGCAATCTTAGCATATGTGTGCGCGCAGAACTCTAACTCAATTCCTAATCTTTGCAACTGAAGGCATTGACCATAACCTGGGTTAAAAAATTCCAATCTAAATTAATAAATTCAGTGTCACTCATTTACCTCACCCTCACTGACCGACACAAGTAGGTAAAGCGACTTCTGCTTAAACAGTCAGAACTTTAATTTTTAGGATACGTAAGAAGTTTTCTTGTTGAAGTAAAGTGGAGACCAGAGAACGCAAATAAAACATGTGCGTTCATTGCCTATCGCCGATTACTTATGAATTAAACGGTGAATTAACATAATGTAGATAAATTCATATATTATATTTAGTAGGGGAAGGTGGGGGGACACCGGATAGTTAAGAAAAAGACACAATAAATAAATCACTATGTTATTTATTTAGACAATCAAAATCACAAATGTTTGAGTATACCTTAGGCATAACTTTGGTATGAAAATATTTGAGATCAATTTTAATTACTACAAACTAGAACAATTTTAAACAAAAATTACAAATCCGAATTCACCCCACACCTATGGGTTAAACCGGATAGGCATTTTATATTACAGGGGTGAATACAGATACTAACAATAAAACAAAATACTTAAATTATTCGCAGTTTTTGCATACAAAAAATAATAATTCTTGGTCAGAACAACCAATGCAACTTTCGTGAGCCCATTCAAGACAAGCAGTGCATTGGTATCATTCATCTGTGGACTTAGTTAGACTATACTTTTCACCACAAAACAAACACTCCGAATCTTCTTGATTGTTTTCTTTATTGGTCTTTTTCCCGATACCTTTACCTTTGCCTTTAAATTTTATTTTGATAACTGATTGCGTAGATTTTCCAGCCAGTTCATTTTTATACGGCGATTCAGTTAAAATTGCTGTTTTTCCTCGACGCGTCGATGGCCGGATTGTTTTTTTAAAATGAGGAATCGGCATGATATCTTTCGGCGATACAAGACTTATAGGATCTGGAAATATTTGTCCTTCTGTAGATGTTTTGCTTGCGGGGATGGAGTTCTTTCTCGAGGCAATGAATCCTCAGAGATTTCATTTGTGGTTGGTACACATGATATTTCTGTTGTCTGTGATGGTGCAAAATCTACGTCTGTAAAAATATTGGGATTCAGAAGGCAAATTCCGGTTTTGGCGAAAGCAGACACTGCATTTTGCATTGTAGCGGCACGATTATAAGCAGTTCCAAACAAAGATGCTATTTGAAATTGGGTGACAACACGCCCCGGATGATTTCGAAGCCATAACTGGATTTCTTGCGAGTAAAACGTGCTCAATGGCCCCATAAAACCAACATCGAATGGCTGTAAGCGATGCGTGCAGTGAGGTGGCAAGCAGAGCATTATGACACCATGCGCACGAGCTAACTCAATAGCTTCTAGGTTTTTAGTGTGTGTGGCGTGACCATCTAAGACAAGAAGCACGGGATCTTCTTTTCTTGGTTTTACATAGGAGATAAAGTGGCGCATCCATTCGGCGAAAATATGTTGTTGCATCCAACCACTTGGATGGCATACAGCTACTGTGCCCGGTGGTGCACCATCTAAAAGCTCACTCTTCATTCGTGCTCGAGGAAAAACCATAAGAGGTGGAATATAATGTCCAGCTGCAGAAAAGCAAAGCACTGCCGTTACTAACTGTCCTCGTTCAGCCGAAGCTAGTGCACCAACTTGTTTTTTACCTTTCATCGATATAATTTTTCCTATTTTTTTGGTACAGAGGTCAATCCAGTTTCATCCATGTTATAAATTCGCGTGCAATTGAAAGCGTGCTTAACATAAAGGTATCCAAAAGATTAAAAAATGATGACACTACAGGCCTATTAAATCCCATTGCTCTTGCAGCTGATGTAGCTTCAGGTGATCTTAGCGACAATTCAGAATGTCGTTTTAGAAATCCACTAACCCAATCTAAGCCAGCGAGTCTAGTTTCTTTATTAAAAGGATGGTTTAAATTGTTTCTCTCAGCTAATTGGAATGCCAAACGTCGCAGATCTGTTTTAGTCAAGCCAAATAGTCGAGATTCCATAATTTGATATGTTCGACTAACATACCTTCCAACTCATCAGTAAAGACGCATTTTTCAGTAGCAGGGCACTTTCGGAACACTTCATATTTTGATTTTCCACGTTTTATCTTCTTTATACGATCTTCTAATGAACTTTTAGGTACATTGTATGTATTTGACGCTAAAAGATATCCCATTCTACCTTCCATCACCGAATTTTTGGCTAAAAGCATGTCTGACTCCGACCATTGAACCCTATTTGACTTTCTCACATATGTTCGTGGCATGCTGACACTCTCACTCTGTAAAAAGTAAAAAGAAAATAGCAATTAAAAGAAGATGTAAAACAAACACCCACAAGACCTACATACAAATCAATCGGGGTGAAATCGGATGGTCGAAATCACCCCGTCCGCTTGTACCCCACAGGTACCATGTTTGAAATTGCAATAATTAACAGGTTATCTTGACACTCATAGCGATACCAAATACCGTTTTAGAAATTTAAATATGTATTATTTCTTTGAATATACAGCTGTTTATGATAGCACATAGCTAAACTTAATGATAATACTTTCAAAAAAAAACAAAATATTAGATAACTTATCTCTGTTTTTAATTTTCGTTTATAGACGCACGCGCAGAGATGTTACCGACTCCGCCATCTGCAATAGCACTGACTAAGCGTTCGCGCGTATTTCTCTATTAGCTAGAACGAGCCAGCTATACGCGGGGTAATGTTTCACCCTCTGTCCGGTTTCCCCCCACCTTCCCCTACCTAAAGGAATAAGAAAGCGGTCACTCTTCTGCAGTCTTTGTATTTTTACTCATTATTTTTTTCTTCTAGAATGGAAAAATAAACAAGAACACAAAACACATTAAGGTAAAATACTCATAACATTCGATTTGATTTACATTTGATGACACACCCACGCAATTTTCTAGTAAGCTATTGTTAAATTATTCAAGAGTATCTTTTGTCAAAAAAAGAAATTTCAAAGTAATTTAATAGTTTGTTTTAGTTAATTATTTAAATCCTTGATATATTCCTTCGTTGACCAAAACGGATCATTCTACTGCTATAAATGCCCTTAAACAGTTTTGTGTAAACTAAAACAAAGTTACGGTCTATGTGTATCCCACAGTCGGGGGCCGGCTTTCTCCCGGTTCTGAGATAGTTGTATAGAGCAATTAGTCCGCCCTTATGCTCTAGTGAGTATTGGTACGTTCACTGGTGTTAGCTGACTTCACATGCCCACACAACCTTTTCTTCACCGCTTAGGCACTTCGTAAATCAGCTATTAAAATTGTTATTAAACACTTCATTATTGCTGGCGTGGATCGAACCCGGTTTACTCGCAATCTGTAAAATTTACGGAGTGATTGTAGCCCTAGGGCTACTACGGCAAAGTTTTATAATTAGAACCACATATAAAAAGCCATTGATATAAAACTTTTCACAGTCTCCGTTAACAAGAGTTATTTATTTATTTTATTTTAACAACTTACATTTTAAAGTTGCACAATTCCTAATGATTTCTAGACAAGTATATGGAAGGCATGTCAGCCTTAATGTTCAATTAACACAGTAGCGCTCGAAACGACAAGCGCTTCACGACAGATGGCAACCATTTTGTTGAAACTCCTTTCTTGTCACATGTAAAATTGTTAACATAAAATAATTTTTCTTATTTCATAAAATCCTTCGATCAAAATTTTTACAGAAGGCAATAATAAAACAGACTAAGATCAGTTATAGTTAAAAGCTACAATTATAACTACAATCTGCTGAAAATTTCGTGAAAAGCAATTACGTTTTCATCGCGTTGTAGAATTAAATGATGTTTCCATTATAACCAGGCCCCTGTGTCCTTACGTGCTTTCTTAGTTGCTTAGCTGACATCAGAATAACCTCTCACGATCTTTTAGCGAGCTTATGCTTCGCTTTACAGTACCTGGTGCTTTGGTGATGAGAAATTGTTACTATTATGATATTTTCTACGATAAATAACAATATTAAAACGAGTGACATTATACACTAAAATAAAACATGAAAAACACATACGTTTTGGTTTAGTAATGATATTATACTTAATGGGCAAATAATGTAAAATAAATTAATCCATTCAATAATCTTTGTGTAAAATTATTTTTATAAAGACACATACTTATTTCTTTGATTTTTAACATATTTAATATATTTTCTAAGTTAAAAAGTAAGTTTAAGTTGTTAGAATGTTGTCGTGGGCCATTATACACTAAAATAAAACATGAAAACACATATGTTTTGGTTTAGTAATGATATTATACTTAATGGGCAAATAATGTAAAATAAATTAATCCATTCAATAATCTTTGTGTAAAATTATTTTTATAAAGACACATACTTATTTCTTTGATTTTTAACATATTTAATATATTTTCTAAGTTAAAAAGTAAGTTTAAGTTGTTAGAATGTTGTCGTGGGCTAATACAAAGGGTTACCTCTCACGTAGAGGCGTGGGATTCTGGTCTCGCCGTCCGCTTTCACCGTATTACGCAAACCAACGTACCTTTATAATTGGTATGACGGTCCAAAACAGGCAACCAAAACCTACCAGATCCGCCAAAATGACTACTTAGCAAAAACCAGCCCGACCAAACCGGCAGCATTAACGAAATGTGGAGTCTGTGATCCCGGGTGTGCATCCCGGCGATACGTAATAAAGCACCTATAATCTGCAGAAATCATATTCGTATAACTCTCTTAATAATTCCGAAACGATTATTGAAATTGAAATTATTATATGTAAATTAATATAAAGTATGGTATTTGTAATACTTTATTTAATTACGTTAGCATTTGTCCGCAGCGTCGCTCCTTCCGAGGCATTGTAAATCAAAAGTTTCGATCTAAAAATAGGTGAAAAAACCTTACAGGATACTAAGATATATTTTTGACATTTTATGACGGCACCTACCTAGTTAGTTTAACCATTTTAACGTTATTGAGACAAACACGTTTTGACATTTTAATAGTAATATTAATTTGTATTTAAAAAAATAAGAAAGAATTTAAAGAATAAATTAAAAAGCTCTCCAAGTGACAACATTTAGTTAATAATAATCCAATATTATGCCAACTAACGGCATATAGATTTAACATAATGCGCAGTAATGATATGTAACGTTTACCTCAAAATATTCATTTATAATTACCAATTATCAAAAACATATAATAAAATAACGGTTTCTGCAATACAAATCTAAATAATAAGTAAAAGAAATATTTCCACTATCATTAGAAAAGTATTTTTACATGGATTCAGCAATAAGTACAAAAAAGAAACCCGCCCTCATCCGGTAACAGATTTATGATGTTATATAAACTGAGACTGATACTTCATATTTCAGTTTCGAGTTACATGGGGTGAAGCGCCCCATTGGAAGTTAAAAGCAGTGAGTTCCGTGAAATACAATACGTCTATGAGCATAATACTCCAAGCTATAATATCTCGTACTATGTAATATGTATATTAAATGCAAATGTCTTACTAGATTTATTAAATCATATCAACTACACGATACGATACGATTAGTAAAAAATATTGTAATTATATTTACTTTTAACTGCAATTATTTATCGACTTCGAAATCATTATCACATCACACATACTAAATAAAGACAAGGAATAAATTTGAATTTAGTCATTAAGTGATTAAGGTACAAGCATTTAATCTGATTCTGATTTACCTGATCCAAATAAAAAAATTAGGTGATAGAGTAAGACAATAGCCAAAAAAGGTTAGGTACTACTGAAATCGACCGCAACACTTGTACTTATAACTTAAAGAATTTAAAGATCATTTTACGAAAGTTTGTTTGATCATAAATTCGAACGCTACAAGTGCTGTCACATATGTCATACTAATCTAAAAAAATGACTTGCAAGTAGGCAAGTCGTCTTCTTTGTTAATTTGTATTTTAATCTCAGATTTTGTTCCACTAGAAAGATTAATTTTCATTAACTACGAGGCGAAAATTTTATGCAAGTGAAGATAATAAATTTAATACTTTCAGATCTATTTTTTTTAAAAAACTAACAATATCTTTATATAAAACCAAACCTATTTCTGAACGGTGGTGCTTTTAGACTAGCCCCATTATCGCATTCAAAGAAAAAGGTCGATTCTCTTATATTATTAAGTTATATATATATACAAAGTTAAATTGTTTTGTCCTCCAAGAAAATTAGATTCCCGAGATTAAACAAGCTAAATGAGACGTTGTATAGAGTCCGTGTAAAATTAAGGCTCGAGGTTAATTCCGAATTGCCACGCGATCTGTTTGCTTCTCTACCTGCGAATATATCGTTAATGTATACACACGCAACACACACACACACACACACACACACACACACACACACACACACACACACACACACTCACACATATATATATATATATATATATATATATATATATATATATATATATATATAATAACGTGCAAAAATATGATTAAAAATTATTTATTTAGTTATTAAATAATTCATTCAAATAACATTGAAATTATAAAATATTAAAAAACTATAATAACAACTGACTATAACTAGAAACTTATTTACTTATCTTATTTATTATATGGTCATTTGAACATCAATGACCAGTTCTTAACGAGTTTATTTTCTACGAACTATTAAATAATGACAATATAGCCAATATTTTGTGCAAAACTTATTTAAAATTTACCACTTGTGCTATTACGTATAGATTTGAAAACCGAAACCACACTGATCGTAAATCAAATTTACGTTCACACAAATTAAGGAAAATGTACATTTATAAAATGTACATAATAAATCACTAAAACAATTCAATAAGTGACAATAGTTTCGCAAAACCAAAAAAAAATGTAACAGGGAAATAAGAGTGAAAATTTTCTTCAAGAATCAAACTATTAGAGACACTATAAATGTCTTCGTAAATGATGCTTTGACGGTTAGCACTGACGTGCTGCGACTCGCGAAAGCGCAATATTTTTATGATCTATCACTGCTATTATAATCTTTGGACACACAGTAGCAAAGTTCAATGAATAAACATTTACAACAATAATATAATCTTTATTTAAAGGTTAAAAAATCGTATACCATCCAGTTATTTTATACGGTCTAATAACTAATACTTTAAATTAAACAAATTATAGATTATTTATAAAATCTAATTTATAGAGATTCGTATCGTTACGAAGTTACCAGCTATTTATTTGCCATCGAATACCTATACTCTCGCCATGAGAATTCCCGAAATTACAATAAATAAAATATTCACGCCTTGCGCGAATTTTCTATTGAGGTACGTGGTGTTAATATGGTCACCGTAAGTTTTGCCGCCCTATAAAACCAAAACTAGGTCCTCCTGTCTTCCTGGACAGAGACAAAAACACAAAGTCGTTTATAGTAGTTAATATATTAAGAAAAAAAAATAGCAAACAAGCTCTGGAATAATTCTCTCTGGAACACTTCGAAAAATCAAGTTTTAAAAAAAACTATCTACACTACACCATACTAAAATCGACTAAAATATTTACTATAATGTCAACTGTCAAAATAGCGTCGATGAAGCGGCACCTTTTTGAACCTTTAATATTTGATTGACTGATGAGGAGCCATCGTATCACAAAGTCATCTATGCAAACAAGGCTGTAGTTTTGGAGTTATAAGAAAGTGACCATATTAACCGGATGACCATATTACCCTCAAGTACTATAATCGATTTTATTTTTCTTGATGAAATTTAGTTTTTAAGGTTTTTAATTTCTACAGCTGTTTGCTTGCTTGTAAATAAAATATAGAAAACTATTATCGATATAGTTTGAAATTATATATTTTAAGTAATTAATATTGCTTATTTTGATTATTTTATTGATTATGTACAATAGTAAAGTGGCTTGAATGTTAGCATAATATATGTACGAGGCGTTTGGTCGGTGGTGAAGTGGCCGGGCTAAAACATCGGTTCATTGAAATGTGCCGGGTATGATGAACTTTGGATTACATTCGACACGCGAGCGGTTCTGCGAACACGTGAGAAACCTGTTTGCGCTATTTTAGACGAACCATAGGGTTGTTTTTAGAAAGCGTTACGCTAGGAAAATGAATTCTTATTCATGTTTTAATTCTAATCGCTCATCCATTTGTATTTCTAAAATTTTCAGGTTTAATTTTAAATGACTGGCGCTCTGAAACTATGACTATAAGGTAAATTGGCATAAGAAGTAAAATCAATCGATTGTGAAATGTATTACTAATAGCTCTGCTATAAAACTACTCAACCATTTACACAACAACTGCGTCTCAATTAGCACTACTGTTACAAAAACGTTTTTATTAGGAATAAAAAATGTATTGAATTCTAATACTTATTATAAAATGGTTGCTATTTTCATGTTTAGATTTAACTAATGCTGATTAGCGTTTGATTGCAATTAATATTAATTTTATGATATAATTCAATATTTTTATTTTATTACATATGTAAACATTTTTATCATAGTAGCTTAAATGCATTGTTCTAATTTGGAAATTAACAGGGAATTCTCATCAAGGCACGATACACGCGGGAGTCGAACGAGTGCTGCCGGCCAGATAAACAGACTGGTTTCGATATCTCGAAAAAGTAAAAAGTTTTTTTTTATAAAACGTGCATACGGGAAGTCGACGCCGATAATCTCGTGAGGTAAGTGCAGTTTTGACTTTAATGTGTTAATAAAATTGTAACCGTTTTGTCGGCGAAACGGCCCTGAAGTTTTGCATCAATATTAATTTGGAGTCAGATAACGGCGACGTGCACTGACATGCTATTTAGGTGCTATATTTTACAATCCTCTTAGTTTGATCGGTATTTGAATGTTCTTAGTACCATGCGGCGCTTAATAATTTGTAATTGGAGCAAAGTAATGCAACGTTGGAAAATATTAATTCCACTCAGGTAATAATTGCAAATAACTTATAGGAATTAAAGATTTAATTTCGCGGTAGCGCAAAATTTTCATATTCCTTAATTTCACTCACCAAGATTTGCAGTCATTATTTCTTGATCCTTTGGCTTCTTTTTTCTCGGGCGGCCTTTCTGTCGAGGCGGTGGTGCAGATGACCCATTGAAAAAAGGTCCTTTAGGAACATCGGGTTCAACTGGCGCGAATTCAGGAGATGGATAGGGAGGATAGTGCGGTCCCGGTGGCGGCCCCGAATAAGGTCCAGGACACATTTGCGGAGGACCGGGCACTGCCATGTGAGGCCCATAGTCTGGCATGGTTTCATAGTGCAGCCTAAAAAAAACCTTCATGATAGATTTTAGATGAAAATACCTAAAATTATTAAACATACCTTTAAAAGTAAAGTAAGTATTCTTATAGTATACAGCCTATGTACGTTCCAGAGGTTTAATTCTGAGAGGATTAATTAGGACAGTGAAATAACCACTGCGCGGTCCCAATGCTTCTTGCAATGGTGAACTTCACATTTCTTCTAAAATATTTTGTTTACACTTAAGGATTAAAGATTAAAGACGTTACAAAATATACATTTTACCAACTCTTTATATGTGTATCAATGTTGCGATTCTACGTGGCACTTTGTACTCCGCTCAATGAAGCATAGTTTCCAAACAAGAAGGTCGTATATGCATTGTCACTTAACTGTGGCTGTTTTTGTTTAAAATTAGTCACAGGACAATCTATCTGCATACACAATAATTGTGTGTGCACATAGATGTACTTGTATTTGTACTGGAACTCTCCTACTGCTTGACAGCTGAAGAAGTTGATGCCAATCCAGTGACCAGGTAGAAAAGCTTTTCATCATCATCATCATTACAGCCCTTCACAAGTCCACTGCTGAACATAGGCCTCCCTCAAGTAAGGCCACAAAGCACGGTCCTGAGCCACCTACATCCATCGACTTCCTGCATGTCTTACCAGGTCGTCACTCCATCTAGTGGGGGGTCGCCCTACACTACGCCTACCGGTACGAGGCTGCCACTCGAGAACCTTTCTTCCCAATCGGTTATCGGTTCTTCGAGCTATATGGCCGGCCCATTGCCACTTCAGCTTACTAATCCGTTCGGCTATGTCGGTCACTCTGGTTCTACTGCGGATATCCTCATTTCTGAGTCTATCATGCAGAGAAACTACGAGCATAGCCCTCTCCATAGCTCGCTGAGCGACTTTGAGCGTCCTCATACGGCCAGCGGTGAAGGACCACGTCTCTGATCCGTAAGTCATCACTGGCAACACGCACTGGTTGTACACTTTAGTTTTCAGAGATTGAGGTATACCTGACGTGAAGATGTGTCATAATTTTCCGAACGCTGCCCAGCCGAGTTGAATCCGTAGATTGACCTCTCGGTCGAAGTTGGACTTACCTAGTCAGACTATTTGTCCCAGGTAAACGTACTTCGAGCATAGTGCTCCCAACAACTACCGGAATAGGTGTGACATGGACATTAAACATGATCTTTGTTTTGTCCATGTTCATCTTAAGACCTATCCGTTGGACACCATTGAGGTCATTGAGCATAGTGCTAAGGTCCTCCAGCGATTCTGCCATAAGGACTATATCGTCGGCAAATCGAAGGTGAGTGATGTACTCGCCATTGATGTTAATACCGTATCCTTTCCAGTCCAATAGCTTGAAAACGTCTTCCAACGCAGCGGTGAAGAGTTTCGGGGAAATAACGTCACCCTGTTTTACACCTCTCTGCAGTTGGATAGGCTTCGAACTCTGGTTCTGTACTCGGATAGCCATCGTAGCCCTACTGTACAAACACTTCAGCACTTCGATATACCGACAGGCAACTTGGCACCGCTGAAGAGCCTGTAGCACCGCCCAAATTTCGACGGAATCAAAGGCTTTCTCATAGTCCACATACGCCAGGCAAAGTGGCAGATTGTACTCCTTGGTCTTCTGTACAATCTGCCGCAGCGTATGTATGTGGTCTATGGTACTGAAGCCTTTTCGGAAACCGGCTTGTTCGAAAAGCTTTTACTCTTACGAAAATAATATGAAATATCCAAGATAACAACTAATCCTTAACAACCATTACATAACATTAAAGATTCTGAAAATTTATTGATATTTTTAAGATTGAAAATACCTTCAATCCTGCTAATTAAAAAATATATACGTACTTTTGTATTACTTATATAAGCATTCGTTTTGATACATTACATATTGTATATGTATGGTATTTATGTTTTTATCTTTTATTATAAGTATCGTATTATTTATTATAATTTATATGTTATTGCTATTAATATTTTTTATGTATTAGAAATGTATGCACTATGCCTTGAAGATACACATATGATAAGTAGAACCTTTGTGCGTAAACTGAACAGATGTTTCCGTCTCGTATTTTATGTCTATATATAAATAAATAAAAAATCATTCATATTACTTTAAATTGCATTATTTTGCATTGCAACTCACCTGCAATAAACTGCAGAATCCCTGATACCAAAAGTATCGCCCTTGGTCAAAGGGGTACTGCAAAGTGCACATGAGAAGCAGTGCACGTGGAACACCAGATCCCGCGCCCGCATCACCAATTCTGAGGCAGATATCGGCGTGTTGCAACGCGCACAGCGTTTTGAACCGTATAACCTGTTTTAGAAAGAAAAGCAAAATCATTTTTTCTGTCATAATATATTTAATTTATCTCGGCTCGATCGGGGAAGGATCACGCTCTCACAGAATACCAGCGCAAAATAGTGGCTTAATGCTGCTGTGTTTCATATGGTGAGTGTAGGAAATGGAGACCCTTTTTACTGAAAACTAGGCATTCCATCTTAGTCCTCATGGATGACAACGCATCTGCATTTTGTTTCGTAATCGAGTATGTCTATGGGCTACGGCAACCACTTCCTATCTGATGGACTGTGTGCTCGTTAGGCACCTTATCCTATAAAAAAAACCTGCCACAGTTTCTCAAATCATTCAGAGTAGATTAGTAGAGAATGCCATAAGGCATTAAGTCCGCCCTTTATATCCCTTATTATAAGGTGTATAATAAACGTTAAATAAATAAAATCAAAAGGTTTAACGTCAAACGTAGAGAAATAATAACGTGGTAGAGATAAGCTGCAGCTCTATGCTTACACAGAACACCATCGTAAAGCAGCAGTAGGTTTAAGCTGCTCTGATTTGAGAGCGTCAAAGAGATCTACATTTTGACTTTTAATCAAGGATAGTCAAAGATGTACCGTCAGATGGAATATGTGTTGTTATTACATAGCAATAAATCCACTAGGTACACCTAAGATGCCTATCGAAATTAGGTGCTCTTAGTTGCAGTCAAGTTAATCCAGATGTACCCGTCCTTCCGCTTTTAGCCGTAACTCATATAACAAAACCAGGGTCAAGAAGCAATGTGCAATACATAAGACGAAGTGGTAATGCCATCGGAAATCTGTCTACTAAGCGATATTTATTATAGTAATAATATAAAAAATTAGGAAATACGTTCGAAAATCTGTCTTCTAAGCGATGTTTATTATAATAATAATATAAAAAATTAGGTTATACGTTCGAAAATATGTCTTCTAAGCGATATTTATTATAATAATAATAAGAATAGTTGTCACAAAATCCTAGTCCTACTCTCCACGTTGTAGTGACATTATAGACATTACTTAGCCCTTGAGCGAAAGAAAAGAATGAACCCTCTTGTTACCAGTCGCATTACATTGTTCAATTTTTATTGTATTACTTTAAGCTAGCACTTGTCTGCTATTGCGCCTAATTTTAAATGGTAATCTAGCCGAAGATGGTAAAATTTTCAAGAGGTCTATAGTTTAAGGTGTGTTGTAATGTGGTATATATATATCAAAAAAATTGCGTAATAAAAGTCTATATACATTGTAATCAGATAAGAAGATAGATGTTTGCAAACTTATCCTCTCCATCCATTTCTGGAAAAAACTTAAAAAAGCTACCAACAACCAACATGCTCTCGAGCTCTTGGACCCTAAGCCAATACCCACGCATCGCAGTAGCCCTGATAATCCTGGAATTCATTTAGTCAGAATCATCCATGCCTCCACCGGACACTTTTACCACGTGAAAAGTTTAAGGTGTGTTGTAATGTGGGTACACTGACTTCAATTCATAATAAACACATACATATATAAATATATATTAAAAACTTGTCCAATAACTAATTTAATATGTGCACAATTTTATTGTTTTAATCAAATTGCAAGAATTTGCAGGTGAACTCGTGTGCTGATGCAATAATGTTCGATAAAATTATTTCTCAAAGTAAGAGTTTGTTCATAGAGCAACTTGCCACCGGCAAATCGGGGCAAAATAGCCGTAGGTACGTCCCTCTGTCAAAGTATAAGTCCACGCGGTCCTATGCGTACAATAAAAGTAGTTGCAGTCGCACTACTCACTAGACTAAATATCGACGCGCGATATCTGTATCGAATTTTTTTATAGAATAAGGGGTTGCGAAATAAGGGATTTTTATAAAAGCAGCGATTGTTAAATCGAGCACACAGTCCACCTGATGGTAAGTAGACACTATGACACACCCATAGATATCTACATTAAGCCTCGATTAAGAATCAAAATGCAGATGCGTTGCCACCACTGAGAACTTAGCTTGAATGCCTCATATCCAGTAAAAAAGTCTTCGGTTCTCTACACTCACCATACGACATAGCAGCATCAAGCTACAATTTGACGCTCGTGTTCTGTGAGAGCGTGGTCCTTCCCCGGTCTAGCCGACCTATTCGTGCTAGAATCATAATATAGCTGCAGCGTGGCTCTACCACGTGTAAAACGTTCTACAAAAATACCGAATTGAAAAAGAGATCTGTCAGGTGAAATTTAAAAGAGATGGTGTTATCTTTCATAATATATAGGTAATTTATAACCGCATTACTGCTATTTACTTCTTTTTAAACTTAAAAAAATACTATAATAACGGTCGTGTAGATTCAGGTTTACTTACTAACGCAGGCCGCTCGCCCTCATACGATATGCAGATCGGTCGAGCGACTGATTCGAGTCTGTAGCCGATTTATCGCTGTCACCGAGCGATACTGTTATAATGTATCTATGTGTGTGTGTGTGTGTGTGTGTGTGTGTGTGTGTGTGTGTGTGTGTCTGTGTGTGTGTGTGTGTGTGTGTGTGTGTGTGTGTGTGTGTGTGTGTGTGTGTGTGTGTGTGTGTGTGTGTGTGTGTGTGTGTGAAATTTTAGATTATTGTTAAATTTTTATGTGTGAGGGGGTTTCGTAGTGCCATACGACTGTTTTTGTGTGCGCAGATTTCTCCCCGCAAAAAATGACAGACAATTCTTTATCGGAGAAAAACGCTATAGCTACTCTCTTCCGGTCTGCCAGTGGCCTGTGTTTCTCTATGTTTTAGTTATAATGTTTGTGTGATGCCGATAATCCGTAGATTTTTCGAAGACAATTTGACATATCCTTGGTAATGTAATATGATTCGACTATAACTTTCATTTTTTGTATAATTTTTTTTACTAAGTGAGTATTGGTGGTATAAGAAAATCCATCCAAATTTCTTGTAAAACTAAAAAAGTCACAAAGATCCCACAACTTCTGATAGATGGCATCTCATCACCATTATATAAGCCATCAAATAAGTCATTACATAGGCCCACACAGAGGTCCACGTCCATATTCCATTGCAGAAAGATGTAGAAGATAAACACGTACATTGTATGTACAACATGTACATTTTACATCTCGTCGTTTACATATTATGAGAAAATTAAAGCGATCTCTGAACTACTTAGTATATGGTTCTACATAAAATAGTATGTAAATTATTTATGGAATAGGTATGGAAATTACCTAATTCATTTTCTTTTAGTAGGGTAGACACAAAAAAATTTCGCATTATAGACTTATAAAAAGGTGTTTTATAGATAGTTAATGCCATTTTTGTTCCGATGACAAAAAATTTTTTTTTGGTGAATCGATGCTCCTATACATTCTAGTAAGAATTTTAAAATATTTATGGGTATGTGAATGATGCCATAAGATTTCGGAGTCTGGTGTATGTATCTTTTTCTTTCTTTTGTAAAAACGACTGAATGGACTTTAAGCAATTCAAGTTAAATAATTAAAATCGGTGAAGGGTCGAGATTGAAGATAGCGGGTTTGACTCCCGAATGAGACGTACCGGTGTGGTCCCACTTCCACGACTCTTGCATATCTCGATTAAACTTCAGAAAGACATTTTCTAAAGCACATCATCTTGTTTGCTATAGACTTCCTCTCTTTTATAAAAGTAAATTAATTGTATTTTTATCGGTTTTATACTTATATTATGTAATGTTCTAATATAATATATTATCACATAATTGAAGGGTCGTCGCCAAGTGGAATAAATAGTCGCCTAGTGGTCGAAATTCGACCGTAATTGATAAAATTTTTAGATTTGTATATTTAGCCAGCTGTATTTCATTTTCAAGTGCACATTATTATATAAAACTAATATATAGGCTTTTTTTTACAATATTGATAAACGAACGTTTAAAACACACCAAATTTATAGCTTATTCAGTCAAATCTATGAAGTCAGTAATTATTTATCGCCAATATTTTAAAATTCTATTCATCTCTATTCTGTGCGACTGTTTGACAACAGAGTTTAAAGTGTAGGTACATTCGCCTTAGAGTAATAACATACTTAATGATACGATACGTAGTTTTATGGTTCGTTTTTTATTTTAAGTTTGTTATTATTTAATAATATTATAGTATAATACAGATAGTATTCGCATAAAATTTCTATAGAAAACGTTGCGATTTAACTTTTAATTATTCGTGAGTGTGTTGATATCAGTATTAACTGATGAACCGGTCGTTACAAGTTACAACCTATCCAAAATCTATTGATAAACATATGTCTCTCCATAGAATGCCTGAAAGGGGATTTTTGCTACAGCTGCCACGCGGGGAGAGCCGGTTGCAAGCCATAGTTTATTTTTATTTTTTATTTTTTTCATGTGTTTCCCTCTGTCCACTTACAGCACTCACGGAACGATATTGGTATTAGATACACTTACGAGTATAACGTTACTGCAAGGTAACCGTGATGTTATTGAAAAACAGAACATTAAAATGAAACTATAAAATATCTACCTAAAATTGCGGATACTTTTTTGATTAATTTTAAAAATTTTGTTATATTTTTTGTTAATTATATATCACATTTAAACGTTTAAAAAAATACGAAAGCAATAAATTTACCCAAAATTACACAGACCTCATAATTGGGAAAGAATTCAAAAAATTAATTAACTTCATGAAAATTTTACAGGTGCAAAAAATAAAATTATTAAAGACAGCGGCATTAAATAATAGATATCAAGAGTTGCATTGCATACTTTTATCAAGTTACTGTCTGGCTGGCTACTACTCTACTGGCTATCAACGCCTCTTTGTCAAACTGCATGGCGATTGAGATCTTAATGAAATGTAATAAAGATGGTTAAACCATGGAATAATTGAAATTTCTTTTGTATTATTACTCGGTTATTACCCACGAATTTACAATCGTCAACTCATAAACAACTGTTGCGGTATTCTTAACAAAAATATAGAATTAATTAAAATATTTGAAGCAGT